GGATTACAGGTGTGTGCCACCATATCCAGTCTATGAGGTCTTATTTCCCCAGCCACATGCCCCTCCCTCTGCAATGTGCTCTTCCTGCATGCTAGGCTAGCCCTCCTCCAACTGAGTTTAATCTCCAGACCAAGAGTAATTTTATTTATTTATTTATTTACTTACTTACTTACTTACTTATTTATGTTTTTTTTGTTGTTTTTTGTTTTTGAGACAGGGTTTCTCTGTGTAGTTTTTGGTGCCTGTCCTGGATCTCACTCTGTAGACCAGGCTGGCCTCGAACTCACAGAGATCCGACTGGCTCTGCCTCCTGAGTGCTGGAATTAAAGGCGTGTGCCACTGCTACCTGGCTGGACCAAGAGTAATTTGTGATGCATCAATAATTATTCAGAATGTGATTGATTTATGTACATGTTCCTGATGGGACTGGAGAGACAGCTCAGTGTTAAGGTACAGCATTACTCTTGCAGAAGATCCAAATTCAGCTCCCAGCACCCATATCAAGTGTCAGAACCGCCTGTAATCCCAGCTCCAGGTGATCTGACACTCTCTTCTACACTCACACACAAATACATACACACACAGTTTAAATCTTTAAAAGATTCATCTTACAAATGACCCATGTGTATTTAAAAATAATTATCAACTATAATTATTAGTGTTCTGTTGTATCAAGTAAGCCAAATACAGTAGCTTGTGTATCTAAATCTACATACTGTATCGCTTGGTTTGCTTTCATAAATTACTGAGAGGGATGTGTTACCAATCTTCCACTATGATTCTGTATTTGACTACTCTCCTTTAGTTACCCCACCCCAGCCCCTGCTGAAGATCGAGGGCCTCTCACATGCTCGGCAAGCATTCTACCACTGGGCTACATCCCAGGTCCCTAGTTCTATAATTCTTTGTTTTTTTTTTTTTTTTAGATGTAACCAACCGTCTTATTAAATAAGAAACACAGAACCAATGCAAAGAAGAAAGCCAAGAGATCAGAGCTAAGAGTCTTACCCACCTGCTGCAGCTAGCCAAGAGACCTCTCCGAAAAAGGCTCTTTCTGTTTTCTATTTTTACTGTCGAGATGTAGTGTTTGCTTATATATCTAAGCTAACATACAAAGTAATGAGTTTCACTATGGACTTTTCATACAGATATCTTACTCATCTCTCTACCCAACCACTTTCTCTCACCTCATCTGTCCCCTTTCGCTCTTCCCTACCTCCCTCCAGCTTGTCATTCTTCCTGTTTTCATGTCATATGTATTCCACTACATTAGCTATCGATCTGTCTGCCTGTCTGTCTGTTTGTCTGCAGACATTGACTTTAAGTCCTTTAGTTAAAACCCAAGAGTGGTACAGCTGGGTCATAGTTCTTTTTTCTATCTTTTGAAGAACCTCCATGCTGACTGCTATAGTGGTCACCTAGTCTATTTCAGCACTAGGACTGGCGGAGTTGAAGCAGCAAGGACGGCTGGGTGACCCCATGGAGTCTCACATGTCAAAAGGATGAAGAAAGTGACCATCAAACAGAAGAGCCCCATGGCCCCAGGCAGGGCAAAGTCCAGAACAGCATAGAAGAGCTGTTGCTCCATAGATGGGTTCCAGCATAGCCAATATAAGGCTGCCAAATACCGCTCCCTGATCCCGCCACACCAACTGTGGTGCCCCAGCACCAACAGACCTGGCTGCTGTGTCGATGTTCTGAGATACATCTCTGATCTGGAACTCCCATCTGGCCACTTGGAGAGGGGAGCTGCTGCAGGGAAGCTGTTAGGTGGGGCCTCTGGTCTTCTCAGAGGGAGGCAGACACAGGCCTGATCAGAACTGGAAAAGCAAGTAGCCTTGGTGCTCCTTATCTTTCCCATCTACCAGCTTTAGCCCTTGGACTCTGGGAATTAATTTTAACAGGTAAAATTTTGGTCCAATCATTCCTCCCTTTAGGAACAGAAATGCTTACTTTGTGCCATTCTCTGATGGAAGGATATAACTTGTCTTTTATTTTATACAAGCCCACAGCTAAGAGACTCGATTTTTAAAGTGTTGGAATTGTTGAAAACTATGGGGATTTTCAAGTTGGACTGGATACATTTTATGTTTTTATGTGGTCATGAGACTCTGTGGACAAGGAATGGAAGGTTATGGCTTAAAAATGATGTTTGGGTGTCTTATTGACAAGGGATAGAGCTGTGTTAGCTATCAACTTGACAGGATCTGGAATCACCTGGGAGATGGCCCTCTGGGGATTTCGTTGATTACAGTAATGGAAGGGGGAAGACCCACCCACTGTGGGTGAGGTCATTCCTTGGCTGGGATCCTGGACGGTATAAATGGAAAGGGGGAACTTGCACGTCTCTCCCCAACCCTTGCTCCTTGTGGCTCTTGTCTGGTCCAAAGGAAACTCCATTTCCCCAAAGTCTGGCAGGTAGACAAAACTGAGCATTCCTCAGAAACTTGTGAAGCTGGTTCCCCTCTACCAAAGGGAGCCATTTCCCTTATCACTGGCAGAGGGGACAAATGGCTGTCTGTGGTAGCTATTAGTACACCCAAGTGCATGCAGGCCTCCAGGCTTCCTCAGTGTCACAAGTACCTGGTTTACACATTTCAAAGTCCATGCTAGCGTCCTAGCCCTCCTCCCCTCCTTCCCAGCGCTTCTCCAGCTCACAGGCTTCCCTACCCCAGCCTCTCATTCTCCTTACCACCCTGCTATTCCAGCTGTACTCTCTCTTGTCTGAACTCTGTCCTCATTTCACTTTCTCCCCATTTCTCTCCCTCTCTCTCTGCTCTGCTCCTGCTTCTCTCCTGGCCAGGTCTGGTCTGCAGTCATGCGCAGTCTACTACCTCCCCTCTGTGCTCTGGTCTCTTCCATGTGCCTCTGCCATTTCTCCCCCTCATATACATAATAAAACCTTAACCATACCATGGAGCAGTCGTGTTCATCAGTTTTTATAGCTCTACCTTACCTGTGAGCCAGAATAAACCCCTTTCCCCTTAAGTTGACTTTATCAGAGTATTTTTATCACAGGAATACAAAAAGAAACTAAGACATTGTCATTTTATTTCTTCACAATTCCAAGTCCTGAAAATTTTATGGTATCAACTGATTTTATTGCTCCTGGTAACATTCTAATGACACCCCCCCACACACACAACTGAGGATCAAACCCAGGGCCTTGTGCTTGCTAGGCAAGCGCTCAGCCACTGAGCTAAATCCCCAACCCCCAAGGACATATTATTACATTTGCACTGTCTATCTGGAATATAATCATTTTGTTTGGGAGACAAATGTTGAAGGTTTTTATTTACTATGTACATGTTGGATACTGTACATATCCAACATATCAGTAAACACTGATTACTCTTACAATAATCCAATGTAAACAATTTAGTGTAAATTTACGTAATACTTTTAATAATTAATTTTAAATCTACAGATAGGCTTAGTTTCTATGTAAAAATCTAATCAATACAATGTGACTAAGATAAAGTGTTCAGGAAGAGACAATATTTAATGTTTCAGGAAAAGATAATTAACAGGTTTATTTTTTTTTCACTTACACATTCAGAAGGGCTTAACCATAGACATAAAAACAAATATGGAAAAACTACCAAACAAAAATACAATTCTCAAATGTTGAGGCT